TTTCCAAGCATATCGCTAGCCTCTCCCTCTTACAAATTTCAGCTTGTCTTAAGGACCATTTATGGTCATTTATTTGACAAACACTTATACAGGGCTTAATAGAAGCTGAAGAACTAAATATTTTATAAATATTAACTCAATCTTCACATCAATTGAATGAAATTGGTTCTATTAACATTATCCTCATTTTGCAGATGGAGAAACTGAGCCATAATGCAGTTACATAATGTACCCAAAGTCTACACCTGACAAGTGGCAAGATAGGGACTCAAATCCACAAGGCTGGCTGTAAACTACACAGTCCAAACGGACCCACTAGCGCCATGTGGTTAATAAGCAATGAAATGCAGGTAGTCAAACTAAATGTACTATAAAGTGTAACATGCATACTGGGTTTCCAACACTTTGCATTAAAAAATGTAATCTCGCTAGGCAGGTGGGGCACGCCTGTAATCCCAGCAGTTTGGGAGGCTGAAACAGGAGAATCGCAAGTTCAAAGCCAGTCTCAGCAACTGTGAGAAGCTAAGCAACTCAATGAGACCCTCTCTCTAAATAAAATACAAAATATGGCTGGGGATGTGATTCAGTAGTCAAGTACCCGAATTCAATCCTTGGTACCAAAAAAAAAAAAAAAATAGTAATCTCACTAATCCTTTTTACTATTGATTGCAGGTTAAAAATGATAATTTTATAAACATGAAAGTTTGAATCATTTTATCACATTTGTACTTTTTAAATGTGACTCCTAGCTGGGTGTGGTAGTGGACACCTGTAATCCCAGCCACTTAAGAGGCTGAGGCAGGAGCATCACAAGTTCATGGTCACCCAGGCAACTTAGGAAGATCTGGTCTTAAAATAAAGAGTGCTGGGGATGTAGCTCAGTGCTTGCCTAGCTTGTGAAAGGCCCAGGGTTCAATCCCAGGTATTGCAAATAAATAAATAAGTATGGCTTCTAGGTAACTTAAAATATACGCGTTATCTGCATTGTATTTCTGTAGGACTGCTCTGCTGCACTGGAGTCTACACCATTGCTCCTAGTCCATGCTGGGTCATCTTCCCCATTTCCAGGCTCAGGACAGGACCAAGATTGCAACTGACACCCTGCTCATTCAGCTGCATAAAGATGGTGGGAGCCAGGCAATAACTCCCACATCTCCCCATTCTCCTCCTGTAACTGCCCTGACACTGCCCCTCTCCCACCTTTAAGGCCAGTTTGAAAAGCAGTTCAGCTCTACCTCCCTCCAGCAGGAATCCCAGAATGTTGAAGTGGTAATATCCTCCAGTGCAATCTCACAAGCTAACATGCAAAAAAAACTGAGGCCCAGGACCACAGAGTCAAGGAAAAAGAGGTAGTAGAGGCCATCTAGTCCAATTTCCCTCTTCCTAAGTGTCCCTAACAAGTTCTATGTAAAGAAGTTCTATGTGCCAGGTGCAGGAGCACACACCTGCAATCCCAGCAACTCGGGTGGTGGAAGCAAAAGGATTGCAAGTTCAAGGCAGTCCCAGCAACTCAGTGAGGCCCTAGTTAACTTAGTGAGAACCCGTCTCAAAATAAAAAATAAAAAGGGCTGGGGATGTGGCTCAGCACCCCTGAGTGCAATCCCTGATTAAAAAAAAAAAAAAAAAAAGTTCCATGCAATGAAGTTATTTACAGAAGGAAGTAACTTCAGATCAGATAAACCTAACACACTATTGCTACAAAGAGGGCCTGCCTTCCAGAAGGGAGAAATAGCAGCAAAATGACAGCACCCTGATGGTGGGCAGGTTCTAACCTCCCACCCAGCTCTGTTAAGACACTCGTAATCATAGCCAGGTCAACTCTCTCTCTTTTTTTTCTTTCTTTCCTTTCTTAGCAATACTAGGGATGGAACCCAGGGCCTTGATCATACTAGGCAAGGACTCTGTCACTGAACTACCCCCAATTCTTATTAAGACAGATGTCTCTACCAATTTCTAAAACCAGACTCTCAGTGTGGTCAGTGTCACAGAGCTCAGTGACAAAGGTATTCCTGACATAAACCCATCACACCATTAACCCATCCAAGTTATGGTATGATTTACCAATTTTTCTTCTCCTTCATGATTTCTTTATTTTCCAGGTTTTCAACAATGACTCTGTATTAGTCTCTTTTTTAAAAAAATATTTTTCTTAGTTGTATATGGACACAATATCTTTATTTTTATTTATTTATTTTTATGTGGTACTGAGGTTTGAACCCAGGGCCTCACACTTGGGAGGCAAGCACTCTACCACTGAGCTACAACCGCAGCCGGTCTGTAATAATTTTAAGAGTTAGACAAATAATAATAATAATAATAATTTCATCTTTCTGCTTAATCTCAGCAATTCCAGTTAAATGAGATGATTTTGAATCCTGGTTCTGTCATCCAATGCTTATTATCCTCAGTATCCACAGAACAGATAAAAAAAAAACCAAAGAGAGATTCAGGGCTCATTATCACTGGAAACCTCCTTCTGAGTGATGGGAACTATGGAGTCAGGACCCAGGGTGCTTTCAGCCACATTCATCTCACCGCTGTCTCACCAGGCCACATGGATTTCTCCTATACCCAAGAAAGTCATAAGGCTAAAATCCTTACTGAATATTTCTCCTCCTAAATGAAATTTTCCCCCAACACTTGGTAGAGTAAATCCATGTTGACTTCATTTTCAACGTCTCCATGGATTTTTTTGGTTCAGAACTCTGACCTACATAGAAGGCTAGGGGTGTAGCTCAGTGAACTTGCCAAGCATGTCCAAGGTCCCAGGTTCAAGTCCCAGCACTACAAAAACAGAATTTGACCAATAATTGGGCAAGACAGCAATAAGAAGCTCAGCGGTCTGCCATTTCCAGAGCCCTATCCTGCCCCTCTGGGGCGTTGCTGCCTGCATCCTTACCTTCCTCCCAGGCCTGGCAGTGAGGGGTTCAGTGGTCACTCCTGGGGCTTCTCAGAAGCCCCAACATTGATGTAAAAAATCTGGTAACCTGAACTCAGAGCAATTCAGGTGGATTGACTGTCACTTCCCCCAAAGCAAAGTGCTCCTATCTCTCACTAAATCTGTCCCACCCTTACATAGATGAAGGTGAGATAACAATCTTCTGCCTCCCAGAACATTCCACCACCTGCCTCAGGCAGGAATCTCCCCTTGCCTGTCTTACAGACTGTGGCTGAAGAAATCCCTCCTCATCCAGTCACCCCAGGTCTGTTGCCTCCCCACCAAGAGCTCTGCCCAACAACATCGCCTCGCCATCAACTATTACTGAAGGCTCAACGCCAAGATGGAGGGCGGCCAGGATGGAGGACAGCCAGGAAGAAACAACCCTTGCCTTTTATCCTGGCCAGGGCAACTCACCAAGACATCTCAGGGGCTCGAAGGGAAGGGGAAGGCATGGTTTTGGCAGGAGTGAGCTTGGCATGAGCAGAGGCTGGCAGATCTTTGCTAGAAGGACACAAAGCTGAGCCCTCAGCCAAATAATGGGCCTTCAGAGCTCAAGTTTCACTCTGAGTCAACAGCCCCCTTAGGAGAAGAGCCCCACCCCAGTGGCCCACCCTGTGTGTCATCAGCCCCTCCCCAATGCCCTTTGCACTGCCCCTAACACTCAAACGGATATGCAATCCCATCCCCCAGGAGGGTCACCCCTGCCTTAACACAGCTCCCATTTCCTGCCCCTGGTGACTGCTCTGAAGTCTATTGTTCCCATGAAGTTTGGGTCAAAGGAAGCCCGGTCCCCACCCATGGGGGCTCTGGCCTGCCCACACCACACCAAGCCAAGGAGCTGGCCCACACTGGAGTCCAGCCCATCCTCCCGCCTCTACAGGAGAGGCCTGTATTAAACACAAGAGGCTGTAAGCACAGACCTTACTTAGACTGGAGGGAGACCTGATGGAAAATTTCCCAAAGGACCAGTCCCCATCAGCTGAAGGTCCCCAAACCAGATCACACAGTTGATTAGAATAGCACTGATAATCAGACAGGAAAACCAAAGCTAGGAGAAAACTGTCATTTCAGAAGAGGTCAAGGCAAGGCTGGAATCAGAATACAGCAGTAGGAGATTGACTAGGTGCTCCCAGCAACAAAGCCAGGCCCTGCCCTGCCCTGCCCTGCCCTACCCTACCCCCACCCCAGCCTTCTCCGCCTCTACCTGGGCCCCTGGGGCCCTGGTGCTAGAGAGCAGCTGTTCAGCTCCAATTTCAGAGCTTTAAACGGACTTCTGCCTAACTTCTGCCAAGAGAGGGTCATAGGGGCAAAGGGAGACAGGCAAGGTAAAGCCACCCTCATAAGCCCTGAATTTCCAACTGCCACTAGACTGGCCTCAACTACAGGAAGGTAAGGCCCAACGCCAGGGACCAATGTCCTTTACTTCCACTGGGAAGGGGGAGGAGGAGCCACACTTTTAGCAATAGGGATTACTTTGTGACAGTCACAGGCACTAGACCAGAATGGAAACCAAGAAGGTTCTGTGACATTTGCATCCCAGATCTGAAAAGACAGGGAAGGCTGAGGTTGCTCAATACTCCAGGCCCTGTCTTCTACCCAGCACCAAAAAGAAGAAAATAAAAAGATAGGAAGCCCTTCTCTTCCTGGCAGAGTAATGCATAGATCTTGGAGGAGGAAGAAGGATATATCTGAAGGATCTCCTGAGGCCCCTTCCAGACTCGACCTGCGTAGATCCTTCTGTGAAATGGCTTCTTCCTCTATTGGGCCAGAGGAGAGTATATCTGCCTCCAACAACCTTATCTGAGCCACAGGATGGTAGGCACCACCACATAAGACTAGAGCAGCCTCCAGGCCTGGACAAAAGTGGCTGGGGAGATGAGGATATGGGGGATATGGGATACACCAGCGGGAGAATGCAAAAGGGAAGGGCATGGGTTCTACTGTCAGCTCTGCTGTTCACAGGTTGCATGATTTTAAGAAAGTTATAGTCCCTCTACGGACCTCAGTTTCCCCATGTTTAAAATGAGGGAGTTAATGAGCCAGATGCAGTGGTACACACCTGTAATCCCAACAGTTCAGAAGGCTGAGGCAGGAGGATCACAAGTTCAAGGCCAGACTCAGCAACTTAGCGGGACCCTGTCTGTCTCAAAATAAAAAATAAAAAGGGCTGGGGACATGGCTCAGTGGTTAAGCATTCCTGGTTTCAACCCCTGATAACCAAAAAAAAAAAAAAATCCCATACAACCTGAAGCCCTTGGTTCAATCCCCAACACTACAAAACACATACAAAAAATCCACACAGGGGAAAAAACATGATTAATCCCTACAGGAAAAAAGAGGTTCCTTGCTATAATAAGCTTAGAAAATACTGGGGACAGTATCAGCTGGGGGATCCCTGGGAATGTGCTGGGCATTATCCTGGTAGGTGCTTCTCAAAGTTCAGTTTTCACAACAAACATTCTGGATGGGTATTAATTAACCCTTCCCTTCTTGATATTATCCATCAGGATACTAAGCCTGGGGCTTTAAACTTACTGTTGTTATTTGTTATTTGTGTGGGGGTCTGACCCTAAACCTGTGCCCTTTCAACACTGGGTGCTGCCTATGAACTAGCTGCACATCCGGCCCGAGCAGGTGGGAGGGTGAGGTAATTCCCACCACAGTAGCTCCATCCTCAGGGTGGATGGAAGGGCAAAGACCAGAGCCTGCCTGACTCTGACAGTTTCTCCCTCCTTTCTTCCAAGAAGCCCTAAACATGATATTCACATCAGGAAATGAAGAAGAATTCTGAAGCCAGATCTGCCTGTGATGATCCCCTCCTGTCATTGCCCACCATATACTGTGTCACTCCTGCCAATCTCATGGACAAAACCAGCAAATCACAAGCAAACCTTACCTCCTGGACTAGCACTAAAGCACTCATGCAATGAGCTACTCATTCTTATTCCCACAGAGAAGTGTTAAGTGGTCTAGCAAGTTGTAGAGAATGAGAGATTCGGGAGTAGGTGTGTAGCCCCAGTGGTAGAGCACTTGCCTAGCATGCAAGAGACCCTGTGTCCAATCCCAATAACACACACACACACACACAAAGAAAGAAAGAGAATGAGGGATTCTTCCACTTGATTGCTTGGTCAACTCCAGCATTGAACCAGTAAAAGTAGTTCACAGCTGGTAAACATCAACACCTGTTTGTCCTTGGAGTGAAATAAAAGCACTATCTACACACATCTCAACATCCAAAATGGTCTCTTTCTTCTGAGGGGCTCACCCCCACAAACATTCCCAATAAACCACCCCATCACCTAAATGCAAAGATCTCAACTTCCTTTAGCCTTCCACCAGTCTGTCCTGCAAACTATTCCAAGCAAGGACAGAATTCACTCTCCCGCAGAAAGACAGCTGTCTGGAAGAGGCAGGTGTAGACAGCTTTCTCTCAGCTCTGCCCAGTCCAGGGTAGCTGGGAGCCTGGGGGTCACACACTCCAACAACCAGTCAATTCTTCCTTGTATAAAAAAAAAAAAAAAAAAAAGACACTGTTCCCTGCTCCTACTGTACAGGGAAGAAGAAGTCAGAACTATAATCAACATCCTCATGGAGAAAACTTTTTAGAGAAGAGACATCACCTACTCAGGCACTCAGACTCAGCACCCTCCTGAAGCAGAAATATGCACACACACTGTCACTCACGTTCACACAAACAAATCCACCTACTGGAAGCCAAAGTGAGTCATAGACAGACATCACCCTCACATACACCCAAAGCTAAGGAGGCTGGCACAGTCAGATGTCACCTGAACCCACTAAGCAGAGACACCCAGTGTGTCAGGAATCCTCTTCCTCCCATATGCACAGAGGCATGCTCCTGGGTGGCCTTCAGCGGAAGTGTTTGGGAGTTCTATTCCCCTGGTCCACTAGTTCTCAGGCTGAAAGGTGACAGCTTCACAACCCCTGGGGAGCACGTATTTTTGCAGATGTCCCCCACTTTTCGCATCGCCTGAGCCCTTAAAACAGCCAGTACACATCCCTCCAAGACTCTCTCCTCCAAGACAGAAAAGAGCCCAGCAGAAACGGGGTTATGGGTCCTGAAACAATTCTGTCGCCAATGTTCTCGCTTCTGCCTCTCTCTGGTCCTTTCACAACCCGGACCCCATTTCCCCAAAGTCCCTGGGCTCCACTGCCAACTTCCCGACCCTGTAATCCGCATCGCCTCTACGATCCTCAGCGGCACAGCCTCCACGTGCCCTGCTCTTTTCCTCATCTGGTCCCTGGATTACGTTAGACGCCCGACCTCTGGCAAAGTCTAACCAACTCCCGACTCCCAGCCTTACGGGTCCCGGGATGCGGGAGGTGGGGTGGGCGCGCGCTCCGCCAATTGCAGCTAGTTCGCCCCGAGCGCCGACTCTTCCCAGCCGCGGCTCGGCTGCGTCCCGGGAGGCGGGCAACCGCACTGCAAGGACGACAGGGGGTCAACCAGCAAAGTGCGGGGGCTCCGGCAGAGTGCCGCGGGCCGGCGAAGGAAGAGTGGGTCCGCGGGACTGACCCTCCCGGCGCCCCCAGAGCGTAGCTTGCAGCTGCCGGCCCCGGTGTGCGGAGCGGAGCGCGCGGAGGGAGGAGATTTCCCAGAATGGGACTGTCGGGAAGACACGAAGATCCCAATTCCTGGCGGAGTGAGTCAACCCGGAGAGGAAGGGAACGCGGGGCGACTGCTGCGGACGCGGGGAGCGGACGGAAGGGAGGAAGCGGGGGAGAGGGCAGGGAGGAGCGCGCCGGAGCACGAAGGGAAGAAAGCGGCTGGACGAGCGCGCCAGCAGCTCTGGAGTCCAAGGCGGGAAGACGGACGGCGGCAAGAAAAGAGCACCCAGAGGGAAGCACGCGGCGCGGCGGGCGGAGGGCGCACGGTCGGGAGGGGGCCCCGTGGGGCTGGGGTGGCGCGGCGGGCGCCACTCACCTGACCGGGATGCGGCGGCGGCGGGCGACGGAACCGGGAGCTGCGGCCCTCCCCACCCCCTGGCTTCAAGTTTGCCAGGAGGACGCCTGGAATGTGCGGAATGAAGGCTGGTATGAGATGCGCGCAGCCGAGGGAGGGAGCCGGAGGGAGTGGCGGCCCTGCCACCGGCACCTCGGGGAGGAGACTGGGACGCCCGGGAGGGGGCGGCGGGTGAGGGGCCGGGCCGGGCTGCGGGGCGGGGTTGGGGCGGGTCGCTGGCAGGCGGCGGTGGGGGAGGCTGAGCGCGCCCAGGCGGGGACGCGGGCCTCGATATCCCAGTTCTGGGACCCGGACCTCTGCGTCCAGCCCAATCGCTCCCCGCCACGCATTTTTCCTTTGATCTCAGCCCCAGTTTGCTTCCAACTCTCTTCGCCCCTCTGCTTCTTCTCCTCCGGGCGGAGCCCCGACTCCCTTTCCCCGAAGCCTAAAACTTTACTTTCTGCCTGAATGGGGTGTCTCCCAGGAGGACCCAGCCCCTGCCTCCGTCCTGACACGCTCGGGGTGAAAGACCGGGGAAGGGGCGGGCGCCCGGAGTGCAGGAAGGGCTGCTCCCTTCCCGCGACTCCCAACGAAGGACACTTCTTGCTCCAGGGAACCAGGAAGCAGGAACTCTCAGCTCGACTCCCAGATCCGCCACTGGTGCCCCCACGCTGGTCCTCTCCTTTCAGTTGTCTTCTGGTGTCCCTCAGGATCCGCAAAGCTGTCATTAGGAAGAATAAAGCATGTGGGAGAAAGCAGTCAGTGTGAGATCCGTGCGGTATGGCAAGAGACTCGTTCTGGGCTCAGTAGTAGTAAGTCGATAAAGATTTATCCAGTATGTACTATGTGCCCACTAGTAAAAACAGGAAGGACAGGACCTCAGCCCCTACCCTCAAAGAGCTTATAATTTAGCTGGGAAGACTAAAGGTACAGAAAAGTGTGTTCATTTAGTGGGTGTCTGGATCTTAACCATGCCAAATTAATTTAGGGGAAGAGGGATATAGGAAACACATGGACTCCTGTGTGGAAATCTTCAGAACAAATTGACTTAAAGATAGCTCTGTCAGCCACCTTGTGGCTTTGGGAGACTTGAAACCAGAGGACTTGGCTTTTTTTTTTCAAAAATCAAATCCAACCTCTAGAGTGATATCGTTGAACCTTGTATTGAAGATATTGTCCAGATCTCTTCTCCCTTGCCAAATAGTAAATTTATGTCTGATTTATCTTGTTTTTCTTTTTTTTTTTAAACTAGGGATTGAATTGATCATAGGCTACCTACCTTTGTCAATGCAGCTCCACAGAACTTATCCTTCAAGAGATGAAGGATAAGGAGGCACTTTACCATTGACCTATATTGCCAAACCTTTTTCCTTTGTATTTTGAGACAAAGTCTCATGAAGTTACTTAGGGACTTGCTAACTTGATGAGGCTTGCCTGAAACTTGCATCCTCCCACCTCAGCCTCCTGAGTCTCCGGAATTACAGGCATGTGCCACCACACTGGGCCTGATTTATCTTATTTTTGACCCAGCACCAACATGGTGCCTAGGTTAGAAAAGTGCATAATACATACATATATTGGTACCAGGGATTGAACCCAAGGGCGCTTAACCACTGAGCCACGTCACACCACTAGCCCTTTTTATTTTTTTATTTTAAAACAGGGTTTCTCTAGATTGCTTACAGCTTCACCAAGTTGCTGAGGCTGGCTTTGAACCTGCCATCCTCCTGCCTCAGCTTTCTGAGCCATGCTATTACAGATTTGCACCACCACACCCAGCTGAAAAGTACATAATAAATGTTGAATGAAAAAAAAAAAATTGCTACCATGGAAGATACTGAAAAGATGTACTATTAAATGTCAGAGTTGTATCCAAGAGGTGTTCCAAAAGTCCAGACAATGCAGCTAGACTGTCTCCAATCTTCCAAGGCAAAGAAGAGTGAGGAAGCAGCTGTCATTTGGATATATAAATGCTTGTTAAATAATGAGTCATATCAAGGCTTGGTCACACCTCATACACCTGAAAAGACCACAACACAAGGCAATATATCAGCCCCACGTGGAGTACAAACTGTAAGGACTACTTAATTCAATAATACTGTGTTGAGTGACTATTGACTTTGACACCAAGCTAAGTGCAGGAATAAGTCCCTGCCCTCAACAAGTTCAGAGTCTAGGTGAGAAGATAATGATTATGCAAAATTCAATGGTAACTCAAGGAAAGGAACAATGAAATCCAAGTTACAGGGTGGCATTTGCTTCATCTCTTGAAGGATAAAGCCAAATTGAGACTGGTGTGGAGCAGCATGGACAAATGTCGGCACGTGCAGGCTGTTTAGCAAAGGTGTGTGAGCAGGAGAATGAGATGTGAAGACTGCAGTTAAAAAGGGGGAGCTGGGGGCCGGGGTTGTGGCTCAGTGGTAGAGCACTCGCCTAGCATGTGTGAGGCCCTGGGTTCAATCCTCAGCACCACATGAAAATAAATAAATAAAATAAAGGTATTGTGTCCAACCACAACTAAAAAAATATTAAAAAAAAAAAAGTGGGAGCCAGGTTGGGAAGATAGTTGTATGGAGTTTTGGCCATCATAAAAGCCATAAAGTGCCAGGCACAGTGGCACTTGCCTGTAATCCCAGCAGCTCCCAAGGCTGAGGCAGAAGGATCAAGGTTCAAGGCCAGCCTGGGCAATTTAGTGAGACCCTATCTGAAAATAAATAAATAAATAAATAAAAAGGGCTAGAGATATAGCTTGTGGTAGAGCGCCCCTAGATTCAATCCCCAGTATCCTAACAATAGCAAAGCCACTTGGACACAGTTGTGACATATTCAGCGCAACTATCAAGAGACTCTGGCAATAGTCTTGCGGGTGATTCAGAGACTTAGGGTGTCCTAAGCTCAAGGAGTGGTCCTGAAGATGGCAAGTCTGAGTCCAGCCTCAGCAACTTAATTAAGGATCTGGAAGCAGACCAGAGGCAAAATCAGCTGAAACTGTTGCTTAGAGTTTGTCTGTGAAGGTGAGAGAGAAAATAAAAATGGGCTAAACCTTAACAAGGGAGCAATGGATGGTGTCATTACTGAGATAAGAATTCAAACAGCAAGGGATTCAGGTGAGGTGGAAGGTGAGTCCTAGCCAGATTGAGAGGAAGGTAGGACAGGGCAGAGTAGAAACAGGAGAGCCACCCTTGGGAGTCACATTCAGCACAGACTGTTCAGAGGGAACTTGAAGTTCAATCTGTTTTCTTTCTTTCCCCCAAATTTTAACTATCCAAAACCAAGACTGTCAGTGGCCAAAGCTGGAAAGCTAGGTCTTTTAGGATTTTGGCTTCCTAGCCTCACCTTCCCTCATAGACTTACCTCCTAATAGAGAGTCTTTGGGAATTTCACACCTGAAGCAGTTGAGGATCCTCTGAGTAAAGAAAGAAAACGGATCAGATACGCCTATTCTGAAGGGTTAAAGACTGACAGTGATTTTAGACACAGAACCTGTCCTTCCCAGGGTAGTCCCACTTTTTAAGGGATCACCCCCTCACTCACTGATCCCTAGGAATCAATCTATTGATGGAAATATTTCATCAGTTTGCATCAAGCTGGAAGAGACACAAAAATGCATCATGTAATCCACAACTCTCCTCACTTCCTGGTGATCCAGACCACTCTAATTCTACAAATGGATCTTCAATCAAGCTTGCTGATGGGTGGTGCAGGTGGAGAGCAGCAGGGGTGTGGTGAGAGCTGGTTTTGATGTGGGGAGGGTATTTGTGTCGGTTATAGGCTGAAGTCAAAGTTAAAAATCATATTAATCACTGTTACCATATGTTGTTTGGTATTATTTCCATTGGCATGGGGCACTGTACCACTGTCATAAACTTTGTTTTTCTAACTCTCATAGGTCATAGTCAAACAAATTATCCATATGACATTTTGTAGAACAAATTCAACCACATCTATGTCATAGAAGTCTTTGCAGCTATTAATAATGAGATGTTTTATATTTTATTCATAGTTATTTTTTGATGCTGGAGATCTAACCCAGTGCCTCCCACATGCTAAGCAACCTGCTACAGCCCGGGCCTCAACAAGATGTTCTTTTTAAATAAACTAAACATATATAAGTGGGAAAGCAGGGTCTAAAGACCTTTTTTTAAAAAAAAAGTCCCACTTTTTTTTTATTTTTACCTCTGGAAGCTTGAAGATTGAGATTTCTTTATTTTCTCATGTTATTTATTTTGTATGACTAATTAGTACTTTTACACTTATTTTTATTTATTCATTCATTCATTCATTCATTTTGCAGTGCTGGGAAGATCCTTAAAATGCTAGGCAAGCACTCTACCAATGAGCCATATCTCTAGTCCTACATATTTTTTTGAGACAGAGTCTCACTGTGCTACCTAAGCTGGCCTCAACTCCTGGGCTCATGCAATCCTCCTGCTTCAGCCTCCTGAGTTGCTGGAACTATAGGACCAGCCACCTTGCCATGTTTATACTGCTTTTATAATCAGGAAGAAAATGGGATTACAACTACATATCTAACCTTCCCTCGTTTCTCACTCCCCTCTCCCCATACTTCACATCTTTTAAAAATGAAATAAGCCCAAGTGCCCATAATCCCAGTGGCTCAGGAGGCTGAGGCAGGTGGATCACAAATTAGAGGCTAGCCACAGCAATTCATTGAGGACCTAAGCAACTTAGAAAGACCATGACTCAAAATTAAAAATAAAAGGTTGGGGATGTGGCTCTCAGTGGGTAAGTGCCCCTTGGTCCAATCCTTGGTACCAAACATAAAATTAAATTAAATAATAAAAAATGCTGGGGATAGTCCAGTAGAAGAGCACTCCTGCATTCCAGTCCCAGTACAATGCAATAAAAAGTAAATAAATAAAAAATAAAAATAAAATAGGTTCTGGGTGTAGCTCAGCACTAGAGAATGTGCTTGGCATGCTCCAGGCTTGGGTTCAATGCCCAGGACCAGAAAAACAAACCCAAACATACATATATCAAAACTTCACATTGTACATTGTAATTATATGTAATTTTTACCTCTTAATTATGCCTTAATAAAGCTGGGGTAGAAAGAGGTTATATAGCCAGGTACAGTGGTGCTCACATGTAATCCCAGCTACTCAGGAGGCTGAGGCAGGAGGATGGTAAGTTCAAAGCCAGCCTCAGCAATTTAGCAAGGTGCTAAGCAACTCGGCAAGACCCTGTCTCTAAATAAAATATAAAAAAGAAGGGCTGGGGATGTGGCTCAGTGGTCCAGTGCCCCTGAATTCAATCCCTAGCACTATTCAATGATCTTTGGATCTTTGAGGAAACACCAACATTTACATCTTCCTAACTCTTCATTCCTTCTTTCAATGTCCAAAATGTTTGTTTCAACCATTCCTAAGTTTATAATACTAGCAAATTATTTTCCAATAAATCTAACCATGTTCCCCAAACAGACAAACAAAAATTGGCAACTGGGATCCAATAGCCCAATAGATCTGACAAGAGCAGTAAGAGACACTGTTTCCCAACCTTTAGGTAAAAGGCAAACAACGTACTGTTTTTGAGATTTCCCCAAAGCTGCTTCCTCCCTTCCTCCCAGAGTGCATTGTGATTGACTCATTCCTACTCTCTCTTGCTCAGCTAAGACTCAGGTTCTTTCTCCCTTTTTTGTACAGTTCCGGAGATTGAACCCAGGTGAGCTCTACCACTGAACTACACCTCAGCCATTTTTATTTTTTATTTTGAGAGAGAGTCTTACTAAAATGCTGAGGCTGACCTCCTAAATTGCTGGGGATTATAGGCCTGCACCACTGTGCCCAGCTTCTTCAGCTTTTTCTTTTCTTTTCTTTTCTTTAACTGGGGATTGAACCCAGGGGAGTTCTACCACTGAGCTATACTCCAGTCTTTTTTATGTTTAATTTTGAGACAAGATCTCACTGAATTGCTGAGGCTGGCCTTGAACTCAGGATCCTCCTGCCTCAGCCTCCTGAAAGGCTGGGATTATGGGCATGTGCCACTGCACCTGGCTTCTTTTTCCTTTTAAAGCTCTGTCTCCTACTTTTCCTTAAGTGGACTCTTCATCTTGTGTTCCAAGAACAAAATGGACTGTGTGTGTGTGTGTGTGTGTGTGTGTGTTGCGCTAGAGATGAAACCCAGAGCTGGGTGCCTCACACCCTCACACATGCCAGGCAAGTGCTCTACCAGGAGTCTTCTCCTTTATTTCTATAGAATAAAAGCAGTCAATAATTTGATAAGCATAATATTAGTTCTGTTATTTCTCTTTTTTAAATATTTTTATTACTTTTTAGTTGTAGTTGAGGCCTGGAGTGGAGCTCAGTGGTAGAGTACTTGTCTAGCATGTCAGAGGTCCTGGGTTCCATCCCCAGTACGGCAAAAGAAAAAGGAAAAGCAGCTCTGGGTGTACTATATAGGGAATAGCACACATGACAGACTAAATCTGAACTGAGTTGTGTCCCCCCACCCCAAATTCACATGGTGAAGTGCTAACCCTCAGTACCTCAGAATATGAAAATGATTTGAGATAAGGTGTTCACAGAGGTGGTTAGATTAACAGGAGGTCATTGGGGTAGGCTTTAGTTCACTCTTGAGTGTTGTTCTTCTAAGAAGGTAAACATAAACAGATCAAGGGATGGCCATGTAAGAACATAGGAAAGAGGGGTGTCTACAGGTCAAAAAGAGAGATCTCAAATAAACCAAACTTGCCAGTACCTTGACCCTGAACTTCCAGACTCCAGAACTATAAGAAATAAATTTCTGAGCTGAGCATGGTGGCACATGCTCATAATCCCAGCAACTCAGGAGGCTGATGCAGGAAGATCACAAGTTAGAGGTCAGCCTCAGCAACTTAGTGAGGCCCTAACCAACTCAGTGAGATCCTGTCTCTCAAAATTAAAAAGAAAAGAAAAGAAAAAATCTGTTATTGCAGCTTGAGCTGATTGATTTAGTAGTTTTCTAGATTGGGGGAAAAAAAAACTGGTTTCTGACACCCAGAGGTTTAAGTTTGCACCCAAGTCTCAAATGGGGATTGTTTCTGAGATACCCAAGATCAGGTATCCAGGGCTGGGGTTGTAGCTCAGTATTAAAGCACTTGCCTTGCATGTGTGAGGCACTGGGTTTGATCCTCAGCACCACATAAAGATACTGTGTGTTCATCTACAACTAAATATACATATGTTTTTAAAAAGGTCAGGTATCCAGAGTTGTCTTGAAAAAAAATCAAAAGCAGGCTCCAACCTACCCAGCTAAAATGTTTTTTAATCTTTATTTATTTATTTTTATGTAGTGCTAAGGATCGAACCCAGTGCCTCATAAGTACTAGGCAAATGCTCTACCACTGAGGTAGAGCTGGGGATGTAGCCCAGTGGTAAAACACCCCTAGGTTCACTTCCTAGTATCGCAACATCAAAAAATAAATAATTAATTAATTAATTAATCCCAGCAGCTCAGCTAAGCAGAGGCAAGAAAAAAACAGCTAAAATTCTCATCTTCAGTAAACCTGTTGGAGACAATATTCTGAAGATAAGTATTAATATGTGTATTATGACCTCAATGGGGATTAAACAATTTGGGTTTAAATTCCAGCTCTGCTACATAATAGACAAGACTCAGTTTCCTCATTGACTTTCCTAGTCCTTTTTATATTTTATTTGGACACAGGATCTCACTAAGTTGCTGAGGGTGGCTTTGAACTTGCAATCCTCTTGCCTCAGCTGAGCTGCTGGGATCATAGGTGTGCACTACCGAGCCCGGCTTAATTAATTTATTTTTTGATGATGTTGCGATACTAGGAAGTGAACCTAGGGGTGTTTTACCACTGGGCTACATCCCCAGCCCTTTTTGATTTTTATTTTGAGATTGTCCAGGCTAGTCTCGAACTCATCCTTCCAAATCATTGGGATTACAGGAATTGGTCACTGCACCCCAGCTGATTACTGCTTTAAGAAACTGTCAAGAGTTTCTTTCTTTCATTTTTATTTTTTGGTACCAGGTATTGAACCCAGTGGCATTTAACTACTCAACCACATCCCCAGCCCTTTTAAAATTTTTATTCTGAGACAGGGTTTCGCCAAATCGCTGAGGCTGGCCTTGAACTCACGATCCTTCTGCCTCAGCTTCCTGAGCTGCTGGGATTACAGGTGTGAGGCACTGCACCCCACTGATTTAGTAGTTCATAAACCATAAACCAATATAAAAGTATAAACTTGGGGCAGAGGGTGTGGTTTAATGGTAGGGTGCTTGCCTAGCATGTGAGAGGCACTACTGAAGTACTAAAGCCATATTTCTATATTATGCTGATATAGTTTGTCCCAAGCACGCATTAATTAGCACCTTAGTATTTAAACTTGAACTCAGTTTTTAAAATCATTTTTCATTTCTGTTAGTACTAGGGATGGAACCCAAGCCTCATGTTGATCCTCCTAATTCCTCACCTTCCTCTGCCTATCATCCTTTTCCCTCAGACTGTTCTTCCTTCCTAGCCTTCCTGCTTCCAAGCTACAGAACTTCAAGACAATTATTCTTGAGAATCAGCCAGGCAGGGTTGCACAGGCCCGTGATCCTAGTAGCTCTGGAGGCTGAGGCAAGGAGGATCGTGAGTTCAAAGCCAGCCTCAGCAACTTAGCCAGGCACTAAACAACTGAGGGAGACCCTGTCTCCAAAAAAAAAGTCTGGGGATTTGGCTCAGTGATTAAGTGCCCTTGGATTCAATCCCCAGTACCAAAAAAATAAATAAATAAATAAATAAAATCATAACAACATAACAAGGGACAGAATCTAGGTAGAGAGTGTTTAGATATGA